GTTCACCCCCAACTTCTAAAAAACTGATTCTAGGAGTAAATTTGAGTACCAGAATCACTTTTGCACTTTCACTCAAACACTCCAGCTTCTGCTTCTGCTCCCTGAAGGAGCAGAAGCAGTTTTAAGAATCAGATCCAAACACCCCTCACTATTCTTGTGATAGTTGCTTATGCCGAAAAAAGCATTGAAAATTAAGAAGATCGAATATGTCACAAGATCCATTAAATGCATTAAGTATATTATCTATAGATTACAATATGCTTGAACAGGCAGAGTATAAACATTTGTTTGAATTAATTTAGCGTAAATACTAATAAGCAACTGAAAAAGCGAGAAAAAACTGTAATAACTATTGTACGTAACTTTTCTCTAAAGAGATGCCTCATTTATGTTTTTGTCTTAGGCCTATGAATGTCTGGACATGGCCCTGTCTATGTAACATTGTTAATGTAACCGGTTAAGGGCGAATCCAGAAAAAGAAAGTATTGATGCCATATTAATAAAGATTATGAAATAAAAAATACTACTTATTAATAAATAATGAGCCCCATTTTAACACTAAAATTGGTTGAATGTACTCAAATTCATAGAAGTTTTATTGAAGCGATTAAATTATGAACACTTACATTAAACATATATTTAGTACTTCGTATTTAAAAAAGAAATATTATATGAAAAATAGCTAGACAGTTCTCTTTAGTAAATGCAATCAATTTAACTTTACTTATTTGGATGTATTTTAGTTGATTTTGGGGGATTTCTACTTACAATATATTTCATCACAAATCTTGTAGACACTTCTCGAATTTCAATATTTATATTCTTTTTGTTGGAAAAAGTGTTAATAAATTGCATTAAATGGTCATTTTTGGGACAATTTTTTGAGTGGGGTCCACTTCCGATTTGAGTCGGGTCAAAGTGGTTTTGGATTGTCCTTGCTTAGGGCTACAATTTGATATATGGTACGCTCAAAACGGATAACGGATGAATGAAAAATTGATTCTCGAAATTCACTCGTTGGAATGGAGAAAACTAGGAAAATGATGGGTTTCTAGAGTGATTTTTCCCACACCGGAAAACCCAAGGGAATCTGAACTCTTTATAAAGGGAAACTCCCTCTAAGGAGTTAAGATTCCTAAAGGGAAAGGCTCTCTCACGCGCGCGGGGAGTGCGAATCAAATCCCGAAATCGGAGAACAAAAAGCGCGACTTGCATGCGCGGGCGACCTGCGGACACGTTCATATTCATTAAACTTCCATTAACACAGCTCATAATCCTTCCCTATAAATAGCTGCAGGTGGTTTGCAACAAAAACAACGCACGGTACACTTCCTTCACGTATTTCATAGCTAAAAACACCTCAGCTACTTTTGAAAAATTCCTCTGTGTTCTGCCTTTGTTCACGTTCTCCGGAACAATCGTTTAAGTGCTTAAACGGTTGCTCGTTAGTCATCGTATCCTAGGAAACGATTCTTGCAACGCTCCTAGAACCCCGGGAGGAACGAATACATTTTAAGGAAATCGTGTTTCATCTCATTTCTTGGTTTTCTTTTAGTCATTTATTTAATTAATTTTTATTAATTAATTTTCTTTGTTTTTTGAAACACACCCAACACTTTTAAAATCCATCAAAGTCATAGTTGGGGAAATCACAATTAGAGATAATTTGGAACTATTTTAAATACCACATGTGATTTCACATCTTAAATCAGGTCATTTGGTTTTTAAATACTTGGACTTAAGCGATGGACCGGTGGTTTAATTTAAACAATCATTTTTATGTGACACTTATTTAAATAGATAATAAGGAGGATTTGTTTGACCTTTTTTCGAAGTTATATACGAAGTACTACATATGCATGTTTTATAGCCTATTTGGTAACTCTTATATTTAGCTTAATAGTATATGGAGTATGAGTCTATTTTTTTTTTACCAAATACATAAATTTTTACTTCGCGCATTGAATTGTTTAATAATCAAAACAAGTAAGATTAAACTTCCTTTTCTGACTGAATTTGCTGAAGTTACTGTAGGAGACAATTATAGCTATTTTTCATGTATTCTTTCTTAATTTATTAAAAAGATCTTTTTAAATGTAAATTTTTCAAAATTTAGCAGATTCAACAATTTTCAGCCACTTCAGCTAGAAAGTCATTGATTTTACTAACTTCGTCTCACTCAATTTTGTCAAGTTGATGTTAGGTGTGAAATTAGAATAGTAAAAATCGTGTGGTTGAAGTTTGTGTAGAGAAGAGAGAAATGAATGGAGCTACAAATTTGTTGCTTTAAATAAGCGGAATGTTTTTTGGGACAAACAAAAATGAAAAGTGGACAAGGTCCAATGGAATGGAGGGAGAAGTAGATTTAGTTGATTCAATCAACTCTGGTGTTATCGAACTAGTCTTTAAATGAAATCTCATTTTCCAAACTTTGCCACGTTTGCGCAAATACCATGAGTCCCTATGTCGTACAACCAGCTGTCCGGCTTGCATCGTATAACTGGTGGCATTTTTGTAAATCATGTGAAAATCTAGACTTGTGTTAACTGAGCATTAATGAACTTTTGGTGACCATCGTGATTTCCGTTTCATATATTCTAATTCGCTCTTTTTTTCTTTTATAAAAAAATCATTAAATTGTATATATAATCAATTCCTATAAATTTCAATATGAAAATCTAGTGTAATATGGTACTTTTGAAATATGCAACATTTTAAAATAAGCATGAAACCAGTAACAAATGAGCATACATAATTTACAAAATGAGTATAAAAAAATCAAAAGCTCATTTGTGTATGCTAATTCATTTTAGGCATTATACTCATTTGAGTGTAACATAAAACTTATTTCTAATGTGCTCAATACTCATTTGTGTATGCTCATTCCTTTTAGAAGTATACTCATTTGAGATCAATTGCAGCGAGGTTTTCTTAGCAACGAAGTAGACTCCCCCTTGCCTTGGAAAATCACAATCTCAATCGGCAATATCTCGAGCTCGAACTCAGTATGTGATCTCCAGCAAGTTGCGGAACCACAATCAGCCGTCTCCTAATCTTCTTCTTCTCTCAACAACCACCAACAACGACGATCCCATGAGCCATTATCTCTTCGCAGTTGGAGGAGAAAAGATCGTTGCGAATGATGAGATTAGCGCCCGGTGCGAATGGAGACGAAGAAGCAACAAAGTTTGAAGAAGGGCATCTGTAGATAAAAGCCCAGATGTAGCGGACGGTAAATCCGGATGTAGTATATAATTTGCCATATACTTCCTCCGTCCCGGAAACAAATTCCATCCTTCCTTTTCGGGCAGTACCAAAATTAAGTTCAACTTTCAAACATTTCCTTATTTGGCAAATCATTTACACCAAAACAATGTCAAACAGTGTTCAAACAACGCAAAATAGTGTACTCAACCGTACCTTTCATATGTCACTTTAAATAAGACAGCGGCAACGCCAGGCAAATTGTATTCCTCTGCCTTTTTTGTTTACTCCTACCAACCTCATTTAAAGCTTTTCAATATCAGTAATGTTGATGGAGAATACGAGTATGTACTTATAAAAATATGTAAAAACTAATAATGTGTATATACTTTTTGAAATACATTAGGCTGGGGCAAGATAGTTTGCTTTGGATTCACCTAAATAAATCGTTTGGCAACAATTTTTTTCAAACTGAATGGTAGAAAGAGGTGTCACAAATGAGAGATCTCGGGTTCAACTTCAAACAATGACTTGAAATGAAACTCCACTCTCTTTCAATCGAAGTGTAATCAAAACTCAACTTACATCATCCCAAATAATTGTCCGATCGATTCTGGGGACCCTCAGGATGAAGTGTCATTTAATTTTTTCTTGTTTAAACTGAATGATTTGATTTGGTTTGATTTTAAATAAGAAAACATAAATCGAACCAGGCAACATTTATAAAAAAAATTGTATTTATCTTCATTATTCATCTTCAGGATATAAATAAATAACTTAAATATGAAATTAAAATTGCATATTTAACATATACCATTTAAAGTTTACACATTTCATACATAATGCATGAGTCAACTAATTCATACATTTAAATCAACCATTTTTAAATGTGAAATTTTAAAAAGACAATAATGTGACTAAAAAGGTCACATATTTGGAAAATCATAATGTCACTATCATTTTTTATGTAGGAGTTGTAAACGAACCGAATCGAGTCGAATAGTGGGATTTTGTATTTGTATTTGTTTAATTTTTTCGAATACGAATTCGAATTTGAATATGAAACGAATATTAATTTCGATTTGTATTTGTATTTGTTTAACAATATGAATAGTTAGCGAATCATATACGAATATCGAATCGATTTGAGCATACGCTAAATATTAGTCAAATATCATTTTAAAATAACTTTTCTTATATTTTTATGTTGTAAATGCATGCTATGACTTAATATGTGTTTTTAGAATTTAAATTTAATGGATCAATGCATTTTGAGATTGTGCACAATATACTAAAGTGAGTCAATTTTATGATTAACAAATATAAATCAATTTCAAACCTTTTGAAATAAACACTAACACACTCATATTAGAAATTATACATATAATGTGTGAAATAAGTTGATAATTGTATACATCAAAGCTAAATGAATATGATTTTATTCTTCAAATCGAATTCATAATTATTTGTATTGTATTTGAAAGACATTTGAACCAAAAATATGATTTGTAGTATTCGTATTTATATTCTTATTTATTACAAATGAGCTTGGAATCTGCATACATAAATGTATATACGGGCTACACTTTGAGGGCATTGCTATTTTTAAAAGTTATTATAGTGTTATTACTACTATTATTATTAATACTATTAATAGTATTACCATTATTATTAATCGAATATATTTGATTAATATTCAAATCGAATACACTGATATTCTTATTTGTATTTGATAACAACTCGAATCAAATTTAATATTCTTATTTGTATTTGTATTTGAATTTTCCGAATTCGAATTGTCCTATACGAATTCGAATCGCGAATCGAGCACAAATTATTTGATTCGTTTATAACCCTATTTTTATGTCATTGTCGAATTTTTATGTCACTGTTATATGTCACTACCAGATTTTTATGTCACTTTTGAAATGTCAATATGGATTTTTATGTCACTTTCAAATGTCACTACACCGGAAAACGGGTCACTAGGTCGTCGAAAAATTTTCCAGGGACTTTTTCGCATCAAAATCTTCACCGGAAACCTTCAACCTGCCGCCTCGACACCGCCGTCATTGCGTGAGACTGCTTACGCCCTAACCCCAGCCCCCTCCCTGCTCCCCCAGACCCCCTTTCTACCCCCAGCCCCCTCTCCTGCAACCCCAACCCCATTCCCCGCTACCCCAGCCCCTTTTCTGCCCCTAGCCCCCTCCCCTGCAACCCTAACCCCCTCCCCTGCAACCCCAGCTCAGATCCAGCCGTTTAGCCACTCAATCTTTGTCGTACATCTCCGACCACCCTAACCAGCCCAAATCCACCCCTTCCAGCCCCAATCCACCCCTTCCAGCCCCACCTTTGACAGCCCAACCTAGCCCCGACCACCGCCAATGAACCCTAGCTGTCGCCCTCCCTCAGATCTGGCCGCTTTTTTGCTCACCATGGGATAGCAGACCGGAAGAAGAGAGAAGAGTGGCAGTGATGCCAAGGGAGAGGTGAATCGGCGGCAGCGACGATGGAATCGACATCGGTGACTCTCTCTCAAGGTGTCTGCAGGTGCGGCTCTGTGTTCTCACATAGGAGCTCTGGAACGGAGAAGACGAGTGAGAAGAGAGTAGACGAAGTGTGGGAGATGATGTCTGCAAGTCGGGGCGAAGTCTTGGGGACGGAAGACGACGGATGAGCGCTGGACGGAAGCCTTGTTGATTCAGCGCTACGAGGACGGAAGATAAAAGCTTGGAGACGGATAAGAGCGTTTATGCGATGGAATACTTAGCCCGTCACTTTCCAGTCACTTTTTTGTCAAATTGAAATATGGTCATATTTTTGTCAACAACAACTCTAGATAGGGATGTCAAAAAAACTCAACCCACAATGATCCGCCCTGGCCCGAGACATTTGGGGCGGGTCCGCCCCGCCCCATCTTGCAAATGGGGCGGGTCCGCCCCGCCTATACAATGGGGCGGGTCCGGGTATTAGAATTGACCCGTGCCGCCCCGACCCGCCGCGCCCCGACCCGTTCAATATATAAGTATACATAATTTTTCTTAACTTATACTACAAATATACTTCAACATACATATGTGTGTATACAATAAATCATAAATTCTTTGATCTTATAATATATGAATATATATTAGAATGAGATGCACGACGGATGATCAATGTCTTCTTTATATATAGAATTTTAATACATTTATTCAATTATTAATATAATTAATTAGATTAACTATTCATGTTTGAGTAATTTTTCCTTAATTTTTGAAATTTTTAGCGTATCATGAATTTGATTTAATATATTGATTTTTAATTATTATTTAAAGATAAACATTATGTAGATTCAATTGGTAACAACTTCCCACAAATAAAAATACAAACTAGCTAATTAGGTTGCGGCGGGTCGGGGCGGACCCGCCCCGCATGGGGCGGGTCATGGGTCAACAAGTTTGGACCTGTGCAGCTCATGGGGCGGGGCGGACCCACCCCGCCAAGTCACGGGGCGGGTCCGGGTCTTGCAATACCCGCCCCGCCCCGACCCCTTGCCATGCCTAACTCTAGAAGTAATATCTATGCCATTTTTCAAGTTATAAAGCACGAGTCAACTAATGATTGGTCATTCATGGAATGAGAGCTTCGTGATTGGAGTTTCGGAACATGAGTGGAACGCAAGGGCGGTGGGGGCGGTTTGGATTTTTTGGGCGAAGAAACAAAGACAACATGATTAAATTTCTTCTGCACCTCGGACATGGATTTCAATGGCAAATCTCAATGCACAAATTGGCGAGAGCAATTTGAAGAGCGCAAGAAGGATATGATTTCACATGAATTTTTCGGGGATTGAAATTCTCTTCTACCATACTACATCAGTTCGCCCTCCTCCGGAACCACTCCGTGCGAGGAAGCAATTTGGGGAAAGTTTTTATTTTTGTATTATTTTTCCTTTCATAGTACTTATTTTTATTTCAGTTCGAGCAAGTGTGGTTGGAGTATTTTGATATTTGAAGAACTTTTGATATGCAGTACTTCATTTTCGATCGTTTTAGACTTCTTCTTGCCTGTTTTGTGTCAAACGGGTCAGATTGCTTTGTATGGGTGACTGACCTTACGAATTATTATTGAAATACGAATTATTATTGGAATACCTTCTTCGTAAGGTCAGGCACCCATACAAAGCAACCTGACCCGTTTGACACAAAACAGGCAAGAAGAAGTCTAAAACGATCGAAAATGAAGTACTGCATATCTAAAGTTCTTCAAATATCAAAATACTCCAACCACACCTGCTCGAACTGAAATAAAAATAAGTACTACAAAAGGAAAAATAATACAAAAATAAAAACTTTCCCCAAATTGCTTCCTCGCACGGAGTGGTTCCGGAGGAGGGCGAACTGATGTAGTATGGTAGAAGAGAATTTCAACCCCCGAAAAATTCATGTGAAATCATATCCTTCTTGCGCTCTTCAAATTGCTCTCGCCAATTTGTGCATTGAGATTTGCCATTGAAATCCATGTCCGAGGTGCAGAAGAAATCCAATCATGTTGTCTTTGTTTCTTCGCCCAAAAAATCCAAACCGCCCCCACCGCCCTTGCGTTCCACTCACGTTCCGAAACTCCAATCGCGAAGCTCTCATTCCATGAATGACCAATCATTAGTTGACTCGTGCTTTATAACTTGAAAAATGGCATAGATATTACTTCTAGAGTTAGGCATGGCAATGGGTCGGGGCGGGTATTGCAAGACCCGGACCCGCCCCGTGACTTGGCGGGGCGGGTCCGCCCCGCCCCATGAGCTGCACGGGTCCAAACTTGTTGACCCATGACCCGCCCCATGCGGGGCGGGGCGGGTCCGCCCCGGCCCGCCGCAACCTAATTAGTTAGTTTGTATTTTTATTTGTGGGAAGTTGTTACCAATTGAAACTACATAATGTTTATCTTTAAATAACAATTAAAAATCAATATATTAAATCAAATTCATGATACGCTAAAAATTTCAAAAATTAAGGAAAAATTACTCAAACATGAATAGTTAATCTAATTAATTATATTAATAATTGAATAAATGTATTAAAATTCTATATATAAAGAAGACATTGATAATCCGTCGTGCATCTCATTCTAATATATATTCATATATTATAAGATCAAAGAATTTATGATTTATTGTATACACACATATGTATGTTGAAGTATATTTGTAGTATAAGTTAAGAAAAAGTATGTATACTTATATATTGAACGGGTCGGGGCGGGGCGGGTCGGGGCGGCACGGGTCAATTCTAATACCCAGACCCGCCCCATTGTATAGGCGGGGCGGACCCGCCCCATTTGCAAGATGGGGCGGGGCGGACCCGCCCCAAATGTCTCGAGCCAGGGCGGATCATTGTGGGTTGAGTTTTTTTGACATCCCTATCTAGAGTTGTTGTTGACAAAAATATGACCATAATTCAATTTGACAAAAAAGTGACTGGAAAGTGACAGGCTAAGTATTCCATCGCATAAACGCTCTTATCCGTCTCCAAGCTTTTATCTTCCGTCCTCGTAGCGCTGAATCAACAAGGCTTCCGTCCAGCGCTCATCCGTCGTCTTCCGTCCCCAAGACTTCACCCCGACTTGCAGACATCATCTCCCACACTTCGTCTACTGTCTTCTCACTCGTCTTCTCCGTTCCAAAGCTCCTATGTGAGAAGACAGAGCCGCAGCTGCAGACACCTTGAGAGAGAGTCACCGATGTCCATTCCATCGTCGTTGCCGCCGATTCACCTCTCCCTTGGCATCGCTGCCACTCTTCTCTCTTCTTCCGGTCTGCTATCCCATGGTGAGCAAAAAAGCGGCCAGATCTGAGGGAGGGCGGCGGCTAGGGTTCATTGGCGGTGGTCGGGGCTAGGTTGGGCTGTCAAAGGTGGGGCTGGAAGGGGTGGATTGGGGCTGGTTAAGGTGGTCGGAGATGTACGACAAAGATTGAGTGGCTAAACGGCTGATCTGGGCTGGGGTTGCAGGGGAGGGGGTTAGGGTTGCAGGGGAGGGGGCCGGGGGTAGAAAAGGGGTCTGGGGAGCAGGGAGGGGGCTGGGGTTAGGGCGTAGGGAGTCTCACGCAATGACGGCGGTGTCGAGGCGGCAGGTTGAAGGTTTCCGGTGAAGATTTTGATGCGAAAAAGTCCCTGGAAAATTTTTCGACGACCTAGTGACCCGTTTCCCGGTGTAGTGACATTTGAAAGTAACATAAAAATCCATATTGACATTTCAAAAGTGACATAAAAATCTGGTAGTGACATATAACAGTGACATAAAAATTCGACAATGACATAAAAATAGGGTTATAAACGAATCAAATAATTTGTGCTCGATTCTCGATTCGAATTCGTATAGGACAATTCGAATTCGGAAAATTCAAATACAAATACAAATAAAAATATTAAATTTGATTCGAGTTGGTATCAAATCTATATTAATATAAAGGAACAAGGTGAGGAGCCTTTTTGTTCCAAAATCCCGCTCATTTCAGGGGCAATATTGACCTTCTATGTTAAAATTGCTTTATTAAATGAAGGAAACCAATTAACCAATTGCAATTGCAATGATTATCCATTAGAAAGAATGGCATGGATATTACTCCTCAACTTTCATTAGACAAAATTATGACCTTATTTTAAATTGACAGGAAAGTTACCCGTGCTTCTCTCTTCCGTGCAAACAGCCCCACTCCATTTCTCTTGTCTTACGGCACCGAACAACTCAAACATACAATAATGGAGACACTAAATTAAAACAAGAACGATGGAGCTCCCATGGCTTTGGTGAATTTCTTCCTTCCCTTTGCGTGTGAATTTGTATTTTCTCTGGAATGGCTAGATTGTCTAATGGCTACCAAAACCGATGATAAACTTCCATAGCCTCAGGCCCTCAGTACCTTCGTCCTGCGATGGAGTGGACCAAACTGTGACAGTGGTAGAGAAGCTAGGAGCTCCGCCTTCTTCGTTTCTACGCCGCCTAGGGTTTCGAATTGCAGACCAAAAAAGTTTCTCCTTCTCCCAATTTCTCCTTCTCCCAATTCCGGCGGGTAACTAATTCAACAAATCAGATCTGGAGGGCGGCGGCTCCGATGGCTTGGGCTACCATTGGGGTTACAGGGGCTGGTGTGGGTGGGTGTGCACCGACGGGTGGACTGGCAGTGATAAACCGGTGGGGGCTGGTTGGTAATGATGGGTCTGATGGGTAGGGGCGGGACAGGGGCGGCAATGTCCAAGGCATGGGCGGCGGTGGAACGGCGATTGCGGCGGCCGGAGTGTATGCCTCTGCGGCAGTCGGAGTGCGTGCGATTGTGGCGGCCGAAGTAGTGGTGTTGCTAGGATGGGAGATGAGTTGCTGCTTTGAATCTAAATGTGACTGTAGCTGCACCTCACACGGTTGGGACTGCTGACAGGATGGCCGCGGTGTCGTTTGCGGCGGTGGGTGGTGGTGTCACTAAAGAATTGTCACTATGACGGTGTCACTATGACAGTGACGGCAGTGACACGAGCGGTGGCTACAGTGACACAAGAGGCTATAACACTGACACAGACGATGACTACAATATCACAGGCGGCAGCTACAGTGACACGAGCAGCGGCTACAGGGACACATGAGGTGGCTACAGTGACACGGACGACGACTACAGTGACACGGGCGGCTGCTACAGTGACACGGGCGGTGGCTATAGTGATACGGGTGGCGGCTACAGTGACACAGGTGGTGGGGACAGTGACCCGACCGACGGTGGCGACAGGAAATCATAACTTGTTGCAATAAGAGATGGTGTTACTGGAGCGATAATAATTGAGACGAAGTCACTAGAGCGATAATAATTGAGACGATGTCACTAGAGCGATAGTAATTGAAATTGGACGGGTCATGTTATTGTAACTGAAAGAGTTATATAATTGTAAATGGTCGGGTAACTATAACTGGAGCGATAGTAATTGGAACGGTGGTCACTGGAGCGGTAGTAATTGGGACAAATTAAAAAAAATGGTGAAATAATTTTAAGATTTAAGACTTTAAAATTAAAAGAACCATTAACTTTGATGGTTCTTTTATCGGGGAGCTATTTGTTTTATTTTAGGGATTTGATTGGT